GGCCCTGCGCCCCTCCAGCACCCACTGCCCCCCTAGACACAAGCATCTACATGAACATGCAGCCCGCCTCGGCACGGGCCCCCGAGAAGCTCCTGCCACCCCCCAAGGTGATGGAGAAGAGCACACACCAGGCGCAGCCGCAGCGGGAACGGGGCCCCCCCTGCCCCCCCCAGCCCTGAGAGGATCCGTGCCCCGGTTGTGCCGCCGGTGCCTGGCCTGGGGGTGCACCACCCCCCAGCTCTGCCTTTCTGCAGGAAAACCTCCTCAAAAAGGTGTTTTGCAGCATCCTGCCACCCCGCTCGCTTTCTTGTGTGCGGCACCCGCGGCACCCACCCCACACCATCCGGTGCCCCCCCGGCGCACCCAGCCCGGCCTGCTGAGCGTGGGCAGCTGGTGCTCAGCGCCGGGGGCAGCGCCTGGCCGGGAGGCAGCAGGCTCCTGGGGCCCCCCACCTTCAGGGAAGCCGCTCTGCTGTCCCGTGGCCTTGTTTCGCGCCGGCACGCCAGGGCTGTGCCAACCGCGCAGAAAGCAACCGCTCCCCCTGGCATGGACCCCCCGGGGAGGGCAGCGCCATCGTCCTCCCCCCGCTGCACGGGCGAGCTTGTGTGCGGTTGACGGCATGTGATCCCGAGCAGTGTCACCGCTACGCTTTGTCCCCAAGGCCAGGTCCTGCAGCGGAGGAAGTGGCTGCATCCGGACACCCCGCCTCGCCCGGACCCCTGGGCTCCTGGGGGGTGGGAGCAGGCACAGGGGCAGGATCCCCTGTGGTGGGACCAGGATGGGACCGGTGGCAGGGCCACCACGTTGTCCTGCCCGAGGGTGTTGTGCCTTCCCCCAGAGGCACCACAGAGTTGAGCCCCAAGAGGGACCAGAGCGTCGCCATGCCTACATGCCGCAGAGCAGACAGCGAGCAGGGGCTGCACATCGGCTTTTAATGGGGGTGCTTCACTGTGGGACCGGGGGGGGGCACAGCTGGGGGGCCCCGGCAGCGCTGGGCTCACAGGGGCTGCACGGCCACGGGGTAGAGCAGGGAGAGGTGGCGGGCGCCACGGACGGGCAGCGCCCGCGCCGTGTAATGCCGCACAGCCTCGGGCACCGAGGCAAAGGCGGCCCCGGCGCGGCCGAGCACGAAGTGCTGCTCCCGTGTCCGCGTGAGCTTCACGTGCACGAAGCCATGGCTGCTCCTGCGGGCGGGGAGGGGAAACTGAGGCACGCGGCGCACGGCTTGGCCACCCTTGCGCACGCAGGTGTGCATCAACGTGGCTCACGGGGGAACACGCAAACACATGTCAGCACGTGGATGCAAGCACCGTGCTTACAGCCCAGCCCCTCTGCCCGGACACCCCCCAGTGACCACCCCACGCCTGGGGTGTCCCCGGGGCTGTCCCCATGTCCCTGCCACTGGCCCCATGCTCACCTGAGCGAGAGCGAGTAGTCATCGGGGCTGGTCTCGCAGTCCCGCACCAGGAAGCTGCCCTCGCGGCACAGCGCCAGCAGCGTCTCGGCGCCCGCCCGCCCGATGGGGCCGTGGTACCACCTGCACGGCAGCGCGCGTCACCCCAGCACCTGGCAAGGGCACCCCGCCACGTAGCACTGGGGCCCCAGGACCCATCTGCACCGCGGGGCACCCTCCATGCCATGGGGCACCCTCCATGCCATGGGCACCATCCCCACCACTTGGACCCATCAGCAACACAGGGCACCCTCTGCAGCATGAGGGCCCGTCCACCCCATGGGGACCCGTCTGTGCCATGGGGCACCTTCTACATCATGGAGGCCAACTACGGCATGGGGCACCCATCCACACCAAAGGGACCATCCATGCCGTGAGGACCCTCTATGCCATGGGCTCCCATCCATGCCATTGGGCACCCACCACCCCATGGGGACTCACCCATGCCATGGGGCACCCAGCCACGACAAAGGGACCAACCATGCCACGGGGCACCCTCCACCCCATGGGCACCCATCCACGCCATTGGGCACCCTCCACCCCATGGGGACTCACCCATGCCATGGGGCACCCAACCGCATCAAAGGGACCCATCCATGCCATGGGGCACCCAACACCACGGGGCCCCGTCCCCAGACTCACGCCTGCTTCTCCAGGGGCAGCGAGGTGTCCACGTGCCTGGGGCTGGGGGGGCAGCCCGGCCGGGCGCCCGGGGG